AAAGCGGGTGCTCAGCCTTCACCGTCATCGTATAGCGAAATATAGTGAGGCGAACTTCACTGATCGCTGCCAAACTCGCAATGCATTCGCCTACTGGAACCTGTAGTCGACCTCCATAAGCAGTCTGATACCTGGCAGTAAATCGACTTTTTTATACACCTAATTGTGATGAAGAACAGACAGGGCGAACCCCATAGTCCCGTGGATCTGTTGTTCAGTGGTGATGACCGGCAACCTCAGCCCCGGGGCTTGAAGTGACGTACCACATAAGGTCCCGTAAGGAAGGTTTCGTATTGAACCGGATGACAGCAGAGCTGCCACTATCCCCGCACGAGGAAGAGCTCCGTATGCATCAACGCACCAACAACAACAAGCTCACCGAACACATTCGGTCAAGCTGAAGCTCCGATATTGTTTTGGTCGCGAATGACTTCAACGCACGGGAAACAAAGGACATCAGATGCTTGAAAAGGTGGTAGTTTTACTCTTCTCTGCCAATGAGCAGATAACGATGATCGGCTTCTCCAGTTCTACGCAGATCACCATCGGTTCCCATCCCCCACCGATTTCCGACATAGCTGTCAACGGACGACAATGTGGCGTTCCAATGCAAATGGTATGCTTACCCAAATCGGCCGTAGAGCAGTAAGCTACGGGTAGCGTGACTCAATACATCTGTATTGAGTCTGATCACGGATAAGTTTTAATACTCTTCACTCTCCAACTCATTGGTCTCACAAAAACCTACCAAAATCGGTTGGTAGATCATCGCCTATCTGACCCAGCCGTTCGTGTCCGCTTCGAATCTGAACCAGTGCAAGTGTCAAACGAGCTACAGCATGGTTGTGCGATGTATTCCGCAGCAAATGTTGTCTGAAGCCCGTCCAGAGCATTAAATATCTAATGAGTCGTTGGCACCCACTTGATTAGGTGGCGTCTGTAACACCAGCTCACTGAGAGTATCAAAAAGACCGTAAAAACTGGTGGGCAATAATAGCTGATGACATGGAAATAATAACAGCATCAGGTGATAGTATGTTCCAACTTATACACAACGCGGGATTTCGGCGAACCGCAGGTTATTGTTCAGTCTGCAATAAAAAGGGAAAAGCCATTCACAATAGAGAACAACGGCTTGACCGGTGGGCGGAGAACTTCGACAAACAATCTAGCTGACTAGACGCTAACCAAATTATATCTCTTGTTGTAGTTGAGACTCTGTAGTAGATATCTTGTGAGGCTCCTACTAAAGCAGAAGTAGGATCTGCAACCAAGCCCTGAAAGGATATAGGCCGTAGGCCGTAGGATCGGACGAGCTCCCAAGATAGGGTTGATAACGTCGCAAACTCTATTACTAAATGCACAAAATTTGGACGCAAGAGTGCGTTCTTTCATAGTGGGGAGATAAGCTAGTTGTTCCCATTTTCGAAAAAGGGATCTCGCAACGATTCCCGCAAGTGTGATCCCGATCGCCACCTAGGTTTTGGCCTCCGTCATACTTTGACGTCTGACTCTCTTCGGAGAAACATCCGCCAACAACAAAGATTCCGACCAGGTCGCGGTTGTGTTGAGTCCTCGGGCTACGCCATACACAACGTCGATCAACGATCGTCGTGTTCCTTAACCTAAAAGGAGCCCGCGAAACAGTTGACAACGCGGTCTGTGCTTTGCACCTTCAAAGTGCAAATTGATGCTACAAGACTGGGTGTCACCGATCACCGTTCTCAAACTAGTTGGTCAGGAATTGGCTGAAGTTGATTGTGTGTCGTACTTACGCAGTTGCGTAATTAATGACAATAACGCAGTGAAGAACTAACGACACTCATTTCCAATGCGTTAGCAGCACATCTCTGCAGAACCTTTGGTGACGCAATGCTGTTTCACTGAATTTGAAAACCATGTAAATTGTGCCACTGCTCTCTCAGTTCTCGGCTGCTGTGAAACCTTCACTCTGCGAGTAGAAGACACCAGTGGGCAATCGATGTTTACGTAGATTGACCCAGGTGGGATGGAGTGAGCGAGTTAGCAAACGCTCCTGTGTTTTGAAGTTTAACCGGGTAAAAAAAAACTTGTTTTCTCACCAAATGCAGTTCAGTGGGGTTCTCACCGTTGCCTGTCTCACCAGGCTAGGAAAAGCATGCAAAGGTCAACAAATTACTTGGCGAGGAAGTGGAGTAGGTTCGTGGGGAAAGTTTGGCGGTACCACGTGTTGCAGTGGATTAGTTTCGAGCGGGGTTACGGCAGTTGTCCCATGCATACGCTGGCTGATATTTTCAATACAGACGAAACAGCTTTGTATTACAGGTAGCTCCCAGAGAGGACATTAGGTCTCAAAGGAAAAACAGTTTCTGGATCCAAGAAATCCAAAGAAAGAATCACTTTACTGCTTTGTGGGAGCATGACTGGAGAAAATTTGTCACCATTGGTTATTGGAAAATTTCAAACTCTACGTTGCTCCGAGATATAGATAGGAGAGCCCTCCTTACAGTCATAATTCTTCAAAGAACCCACGGCGTGCGTTGGACTTGATGGTCCAAAGTTCGAGCCTCGCTCTATTGGAGAATTTTGCATCAAGTCTCTTTTTCAGTGATTAGATTAACTCGTTTCGAATCAAGCTAGGTGTCTCAAAAAAATAACACGAAGCAGTGAATGCGCTGGAAGTTATCTCAATTAGAGAGCCACAGAAGTTACTGGATCTATTGAAGCTGTTTGCCTTGGCTAATGCTCGAATTTCGGGTCGATTAAAGGAGCGTACAATTAATCTAAACAGCGCGCTTGTTGGTTCCAAAAGGAGACGCGACCATTTATGATTGCTCAAAATAAATCTTTGCAATGTGCTCAGGTGTTTTTCTGCTGTTCTGTGGGGCACTTAACTATGGTGATTTTCGTTGCAGTTGTCACTAAAGCCACCTCCATTCGGTCTATGGATGGCCTCTGTCGCACCAACGTTTAAACGGATGAACGATAATCGCGATGGTCTGGTACTCTAGTGTGTGGAGTACGATGCCAAATCCAAGCGATCGATAAACGTGGTGTGAACGATAATCGCACCGATGAAATTAGACAGGTCATCGTAACCCAGGTTTGACGCGCTCCTGACTGTTTGAGTGATGCACTCTTAACTTGTGAATCACGTGTTGAGCCTAATCAGTCACTCATGTTTGGAATATGGGAAAGAAGTTAAAGTACCGACCAAACGGATAATACGCTTATTTTAGATGACGTGATTTCCTTTAAGTGCGATTTTTTTGTTTCACGTGTTCTCACTGTGTTCGATGTGGTTCGTTCTTGTTTTCATTGAATTGGCAAATATTAATGTGATTATTATAGCTGAAACGGTTGTATGTTATGGTCGACGCCATATACTCGATTCTGCGGTTAGCCTAACATTACGAAGGAATGGAGGTATGTCTGGAATTAATATGCGCTAATTGGTTAGAAGAAATTCCCCTGAAGAAAGGTGAGTAGTTTTGGGATAACTAGACACCTGAACCTGAAAAGGGTTGAATAGCGGATGCAATGTGGTAATATTAAGCTGAGGGAATCCTAAAAGATGTCAATTTCTTCTATTCATAAAGGATACGCAGGACGGTGTATCTAAATTCGAGTATAAATAAACGGTGCACGATTATGAACATTGGGAACAAGTAAATAAGTAACCGAATTAGCGTACTTTTCATCGATCCCGTTTATTTCGTCACAACTCCCAACCGATTTTTCATACTATTTAATAACACCTACTACTGACCAACATAATATCTGTCACAGTTCCTGAAATTCACCCACGTTTTCGACTCCCCGAGGGGTGCTTCATAGCAGGAGATTAACTGTATATACTACATATATATATATACATAAATATATATATATATATAGTATATACAGTTAATCTCCTGCTATGTAGCAGCCCTCGAGAAGTGAGTTCATATAAATTAAGTAAGAAACCAAAAATCAACGGTAGCAGTAGTACTCTGTGTACTGTCGATACTACTGTTGCTGCTGATTCTTGGTTTCTTACTTAATTTATATGAACTAACTTCTCATGTTTAGTGTACCCAGCTACAGCCCTGGAAGTCGTCCTTTCGCCCACCCACTTTAAGGAAAATACGCTTTATTAAAGTAGGTGAGAGAAGCTTCCACAGCAGATGCCTAAATAGTCGCACTCCACATATCTCACCCTCCTCTAGAAAAACCGGATGTATCTTGACAGTACCCAATCATAAGACAAAAAGGTGACTGCATAGATAACGCAGGTGAAAAAATAGCAGCAAGATGAACATCCATAGTATGTGCAAATACATGTCCTTTGCACCCACACCCTGGGCACAATCCTTGAAAATAGAATATCCCATCCAACAACTCCACCTAGTTGTTCACTGCATCATTTCTTTAAAATTTTTACTTCTTTTATTGAATACACAGTGATACAATTTTCAGGAAGAGGGAAGCGGCCAATCAAAGTGCTGCCATACAACACACAAATGGGGAAAGTCAGGCGGTGGCGGTGGGATTTGAACACTCGTCCCCGGAGTAGTAACCACCAGGCCACCACCGCGCATNACCGCGCATCTTAGCTCAGAGAGCTGAAGAAGGTAATTTTGGCAAAGCACATTGCTGTGGTATCACACTCGCGCGGTCTCACAGATAAATTTTATGCTCACTGTGGAAAGTAGTCAGATGGTCTAACTCGTTTGCCTAATGAGCCCTGNGACGATAGCCTGTGACTGTGACTGAGACCACCAAATCAAGTTTGACGTAGCTGATGCATAGGTTGATTTTTGAACTGTAATTAGCTATCATCCTGGCATGGCTTGGGCAACCTGGCAGTATTCAGCCCACAAGCAAATCACAGAACGTTTTTTTTATAAAGATTATTGTACTATGATTTGCCTGACATAATCTGTCCTCAGACAAGTGTGATATATACAATATTTCATCCAGTGAACTCTACAGACGGTTGTTTTAAATGAATAATTCTTTCATGTTATTTGAGAAGCTCATCGTGGCTTCTCCATTGGACTGAATCATCCATCCACGTTTCGACACGGTTCATCTTTGAGTATTTGTCTGCCGGTTTCTTGTCCAGCCACCCCGAAAACGCGGAAAAAATCAATGTGTCCTGCGGCATCCACATCCGTCAATACAAAATCCGGTAAGTGTTCTTTTCTAATTTTGCACGATATTTGTTTCCTTCTTTGGACAGTAGACTAATATAATCGCCATCGCGATGCACCACACAGCTGAACCTCAGCAAAACAGGTAATTACTGTTTAGATTTACATAGAGATTAATGAATTGGTATTTATTCGGACTCGATGAGATTCAAAGTGCTTTCCTTGGTTCCTTCTAAGGTGCACTCACACCATCTTCATGGTTGAAACTATTCGATCTTCTATTTCGCCTGTTCGCCGAGCTTGGCAATTTGTTTGCAAACGTTTCATTACCAGCCGAGGTGACATCGTCATCACGCACCAGTTTAACGGCGAACCCAGTCGAACACAATGAGAACAAGGGACAACAATGGTCGGTGGAGAACACATATATAAACGAACGAACACAAGCAGAAGACTGCCACTTCACAAGCACTGATGATGTCACCTCGGCTAGTGATGAAACGTTTGCAAACAAATTGCCAAGCTCGGCGAACAGGCGAAATGGAATAAACAGTGGTTACTGATCAACAAAATAGTAACCCAGATGAAGAGCAAACAAGAAATTAAATTAGATTAAAATAAATAATAACCCAACCATCTGGAAATAGGTGTAAAGTAATGCTTCTTAGCTTTCTTGTCTTTCTCCTGCCGCCTAATCCATATGGATAATCAAAATACATCGACGAAAACCGGCTTCAAGCTAAAGCAGCTTGTTGACCGATCTTGTAGTGTGCGGACATTGAACGCGCCTAAGTAAAACGGCAATCTCCTCTTCAAAAATCCTATAACTTTCTATTGTTTCACTTCACTGGCAGGTCTTTCTAGAGAGCATTTATATTAACGACTGTAAAGCGTCACCAATCTCGGAAATACATAGGTTTATTTCAGATATATGTAATGCACAGTTTCTGAATGATACAATAAAATTTCCCCCTAAAGCAGTTGTGCGGTTGTGCGCTCTCCGTTTAGAACAATCGAACGGTAATGTTCTCCCGCGGATAGGTTTACTGTAACTCTGAACCATAAAATTGTCGTCTAAACAAACGTAATTCCAATCTACCATCCGTGACATGGTTTTGCTCTCTTTTTACTGCTACCGAAACTTTACCGGGATCAGAAATTTATCTTGCTTCAGACATTCAATGCTGAGGAACCAAAATTCTGTCATACTATAGGATAGTATATCTTCTTCCTGTTTCTCACCCAGTGAGTAGTCAGACCACGTTAACCATACCACCTCAGTGTGACTTCGAGGCTTTGGTAAAACAAGCAGTGGACAAAGTCATCCCTGGTGA